AAATTTTTATTAATTAAATTTCATTTTTAATTAGTAAAAATTTTTGCATTAACTTTATAATTAGAGCAATTCTTTTAGAAAAAATCTAAAAAATCTGAAAAAAATATATATTAAACTATATTTTAATTTTTATTATATTTTATTAATAAATTTAGTCTCTGAATCATTATTTTTTATTATTATTATTATTTATATATTTAAATAAATAAATAAATTATATAAGTATATTAAATATATAAATAAATTAATTATTATACTTAAAAAAATAAATTTAAATAAATTTAATTATAAAAAATTTAATTATAATTATTTAATAACTAAAAAATTATATTATAAAAAAATATATAAATTTAACTATATATATATTAAATAAATAGATAAGATAAAATATATAAATTATATTATATTATATTATATAATTATATAATTAAATATATAAAAAAAATAAAAATATATGTTTCAAGAATTAAAATAGTAATCAAGCTTTAAAAATTTTTTAATCAACTAGTTTTTATAAATCTTATTTTTAATTAATATTATATAATCAATTATTTTTTGATTTTACTTATAAAGTCTCTTATTGATTAAAAGTTATTTAATAAATAATATATTTTAATTACTTTCTTGAGATTATTATTATCTTGTTATTAATTATTATTTTTATTATTAAAATAATAATTTATAATTTTTATATTTTCTTATAAATAAAATTCTTGAAATAAAAGTTTTTTTAAGATTAATAATATATAAAAATATAATAAAATTTTACAAAACTATTTTTTAAAAATAATTTTATAAGTAAAAATTTAAAGACACAATTATATCTCAAACTAAATATTTATTTGAATTTTTTCATTATATAATAATCTTGCAATTTGATTAAAAGTTATATTTACGTATTTTTACACTTGGTACTGGAGATTTTAATTTTCACAGAATACAGATCTGCTGGTCAAATTTTTATTTTCTACTAATCTATCTCTTAAAAAAGAATGTTTCTATTATTATCATGAATATTCATTATTTGAATTGTGTCACATGATAGAAATCATGGTGCTTTGCTATTTTGTCATAAATAATTTCATTTATAACATCTTTGAGTACTCAATATCTTGACATTCGGTGGCTGGAATCGAATGCGAAGCCCACCATTCGATTTATCAGAACCTAGAGAATCGAATAATATACCTCATATTCGATTCCTGTCACTGAATCTTGAGATATTAGAATGTTTTATAATAAAAGTTATCGATATTTATCAGCTCGCATTATTGTTTTATATAATCAAAATCCCTTTTACTGCAAAATGTAGTTTACTAAGAAATATTTGTTACATTGAGCTATAATTACAGGATAAAAAATTTTGTTAAAAGACGATATCGCTCGTTATAGAGAGCACTAACTAGGGATGTTACCCAAACTAACAAATAATCGGGTATGCCAACATTTGGAAATGTATAACGATAAGGACAAAAAGGATGGATCAACATCGCGAGCCGGCTCATTTCGTATACAATCGATAATAACCTATCATCATTATTAGTCTGCACGGCTGCACGGCAGTTTAATTAGATTTGCATAAGCAAAAAAATGTGGCACGAGGCGTTTCTACAAAGCAACATCTTTTCCCACGTGTTTATTGAAGCAAGTTAAATAGCGATAACGAAAGGTGTGCTACCTTATTTGTCATAATATCGCAAAATGCAGTGCAACTCTGATAGCAGTTTTTGATTTTTGGCGGGTATTTTTGATACGCACGTTAAAGACGTCAAAGTGATCAGTTTATCAGCAAAGTGAGTAACCTTTGCTGTAAAAAAATATCAATCCCATAGTCAAAATGTTCAAGAGTTTGGAAGAATTGAATGAACTTTGCATGTATCGATTAGAACTCACGTGGTTGCATAAAAAAATTGAAGATTTCAAATCTTTAAAAGAATAAAAACTTGGAAACAAGATGTGATTAGATGGGGCGCCCAATACAGGAGCCGAAGATTGTTTCATGTTACAAGTGTTACATATGAGCGAATTTGATTCCACAACTGATTTTAAAAACTCCACCCGAAAATTACCAAATTGGGGAAATCTGTCCATTGTCAAAAACGCGTCAAAAATCTAAATCCACTTTCAACTGCATCACACTGCAGCTATTTCTGGTGGGAGAAAGCAAAAATATTTGATCTCTTGTTCTCTTTATTTTTATCATATTTCTTTTATCTCTACGAAAAATGTCTAATGCTAACCCCCTTATCCTTAAAATTTCCAATGTTTTGGGTTTCGCTTTGGTATTATTTGTAAACTTTGTCTGTCCACAACATAAAAGTGACGAGGGACACGATAAAGACATTTTAATTTTCCCTGCTTTATGGGTTTTCAAAATTTGGCTTCTTATTTATGGGTTGTTGGCTGGTTTTGTGCTGTACCAATTCTTCCCAGCTGCTCATGATGCGACTGTTGATGGTATTAAATGGTATTACGTTGCTGTTAGTTTGTTGAATGTCAGCTTCGTAGTTGTTTGGGTAAGTTTTACTAAATTTCTTATCGTATTTGATTGAGAATGCACCCGATTAATAATTAATTGTTTTCATGAAATAGCATCAAGGAGGAGGCCTAGATATCCTCGAATTTGTTATCATCCTACTATTACTCGGTTTTCTCTCTTTAATCTATTCAAACCTTAATGAATACCCATCTAAAAACATTTTCGATCGCCTATTTATCCACTATCCGTTTATAATTTATACCGCATGGGTTGTATTCGCTGCCATTCTTAAATTATGGATTGTCTTGCCGGTGTTGAACACAGCTTTAATATCGATAGTTGGGATTGCCGTTATTGGTCTAATTGGTCTCCATTTTGTTGATTATCATGATCGACGTGATTGGGTATTTTCGGGTACTCTTGTTTGGGCACTCGCTGGAATCGCGTTGAATCATGAAGAAGCCGAGGAGAAACCCATTTTGATTGCTGCTTCGCTTGCTGGTGGGTTGATTATTGGTGGGATTTTCAGAGTTTGGATTCATCAGGTGGTCGCATGGTGGAGACTGAGAGGCGAATTGGATGAGAGATCTCCATTGTTGGGATAAAGTTAGAAATTATTTATTGTTAAATTTTATAAATTATTTTTTCAAATGTAAATCATTATTTATAGTATTTTTTTTTGTTATACATTTTATTAATTGATAATATACAAGATTTCTACAATAAATATTATTAAGAACTTGCACATAATAATAACATAACAGTAATAATAGATGACGTGCAGAGCCCCTACATATTAAAAAATTGTCGACATAGAGGGCATGTTACGTCATTCGAACTACGGAACCACTAGATGATATTTAAGTAGAAACAGAAATTAGCAAAGTAAAAAAACCATATATATATAATATCCTTTTTTTTACCTTGTACAAACAAAGTTTGTGGAACCGATATTTGCATGTAGGACACGGTTTAGTCGGTAATGAACGATCATCGAGACTAATTACCGAATAGCAAATCGGGCAATCTTCGTATCCTTCAAAATGAAGCGACATATTTTTCTTATATAAATTCAGTGCCACTTCCAAGCTTCCATCCTATAAAAAGTTGTATTAGAAAAAGCAAAGAAAGAATAGTAATGATCTTGATAATTAATGTAAACAATAGATGTACCTGAGTATTGATAACCGCTTGTATGGGCAACTGAGCCTTTTTTAAATCTTTGACCTCTGTCTTACCCAAATGTTCTACAGTATGGGCTTCAATCTGTCGTAATGGAAAGCTATTTGGCATTCGTAAGCTCAACTCCATCGCATATTCATCTATCCGGAATTCGGCAATCACTTCATTAGTTGCACGCGCGATCCGAATAAGCATCTTATCATCTTCCTGTAATTGTGCTTTAACATCCTCTCGTTGGATTTGGTCAATTTGTTGTTGTATAATAACCGGAGAGAAGTATTTCTCGGTGTAGCTAAACATAACAATTTCCAAGGCATTAATATTTAATATTTCCAAAATTTTGTCCCAATGATTATGATAACTTACTTATCCACAGCAACATATAAATGACGTTTTTTGCATTCAGCCCACCATCCTCTAAAAAGCAATAATATCAGAGAATAGCAAACATTATTGATGCTAGGCTTGTCATGATTGTTCGTCACTAACCTTATAGCCGAAGGAAAATGCCTCAAAGCTCGATAATATAAATGTGCGCTAAGCACCGGAAATCCGATTTCGGGGCCAAGTTCAATCTCAAAGGCTAAAGAATTATAAATACAATAAAATAGGTTGTGATTTTCATTACATAAAGTTTATTTTTCTTCTTACCTTCCACGAAAAATTCTGTAAAGTCCCATTTATTTAAATCAAATGGTTTAGTAACAGTTGATATAAGACCCATTGTTTGAAACGCATATGGGAGAAAATCATCCAACATTTTGTTTCTGAGATGGTCGAGGTAGTGAGATTTGAGTTTTTGAGTCTATAATAAAAGAATGAATTAATCATTAAAGCATCAGCAATATTTATAAAGAAATGAAATTAATTAATCTTACAGTAAAATCAAAGTGATCTAATATTAATTTCCATGCAAGAAAATATCCAAAGGTGTGATGAAGAGACTGCAATGTATAAAACACTCGATTATTAATAATTCAAAATAAAGTGAAGATTTTCTTTAGGCTGACCAACTTACCAAAATATTATGATCTCCATTAATAACTGCTTTTAGATAATCCTTTTGATGAGCTTCGGCAATCAAAGTGCTCAATCCTTCATCGAATTTAGCGCTGAAAGTATTGTCTAAACATAAAATAGTATCAAAAGTAAATCATTAAAAACAGTTTAATATATTCTCAAGTCATGCAATTGAAATTTACCCGAAGAACTAATAATCTCTAATTCTTCTGATAAGATAACCACTTTTTCCTTGGTCATCTTTCGAAGCAATGAATATGTACATGTTTGAATCCCTACATGTGGCACTAATAGTATCTCATAGAGCTAATTTACATTAATACAGGAAAAATTGTCAATAATCAAACGCAGTAATCATGTTAATGACAAATTACCTGCGATGCTTTAGGCGTTAACAAGGACAAAGAAAGTGATTGGCAGGTAATAGATAATGCATCCAAGTATGTGGAATAGCTATCCGAAAGAATTTCATTTTTATGTGCTAAATAAAAAAAATGAAATCATCAAACTTAGAATTAAATAATAAGATTATCTAAAAAAAAATTATCACATACTAGAAACCTCGAAAAAGAAATTGGCTAAAAGTTCATAAATTTGTGGTTGATACTCTTCCAGCTTGAGCGAAAGCTCATTCTCTAGCTCGTCAGAAGGAACTGACGACGCACTAAGATTTTCCAAACGATTGTATAATTGAATAGCCTCATATCGTAGAGCAAGACTGCTTTCAAGCTAATAGATACATTTAAAAAAGTGAATAAGACTAATTATTGTGATTTTATTAAAATGTGTTAAATTCATAATACAAATACCTGCAGCCAAGTTTGAATACGCTGCAATATAAAGTTCCAATGGCTGGCATAAAGATCTTGGGTAATAGGTACAAGTAAATTAAGCAGGCGAGCGACCTGCGTATGAACATGGACAAGTTCGGTATATGAGGCTGGCTCCGGAACATCTTTTAATTCTGCATACCAAGTTTGAATACGTTGCAGCAAATTTCTGGCTCGTGCTTGCTGTAAAAAAAATTGATCATCTTTTGATGCAGTAGTCACCAATAAAGACATATACGTCCATCCTAAAAAATCATCAAAATTAGCATTGGATATCAAATTCATATAAGAAAAATAGAGGAATATTAGTTGCGATTAAATACCATTATTTTTTAATGAATTATCTTTTATGAAGATATCTTTTGCATCTAAATTACACAATTTTCCGGCTAGATTGTTTTGGAAAGCTTTATATTTTGCCGATAATTCAAGATACGGCCGAAGTGAAGAAATTAAAGCTAAATTTATTTCTAAATTTACTGTAAAATAATTTATCATAAAAAATTGAGTTAATTTACGATTAAACTTTTATATCATAACATAAAAAAACTTACAGCTAGATGTCTTAACAAATTCCAAAAATTTTTCAGCCATTGGCGTTGACAAATTTGCGATTGAAAAAACATTACTAATCAACAACTCTAAGACTCTAGACCAATGTCTTGAATGATCGCCATGAGCTCTTTTGATAGTTTCAATTAATAAACTTTGCAGATCGATTATTTCATCATCTTCCTCGAGAAAATCAGTAGTATGACCGAGACGCGATAAACATTCTTTGAAATTGAATGGGGTTTCTGATAAACTAGTAGATAGATATCTTTTCAAGGCGGAAAGAATGTCCACTTGCAATGTTTTAAAAATCTGGAATTTTCTTTCTTCCCCACTAGTCGCATCCCATATGTGTCGTCCGGTATTATGAGCACTTATTACATTAGCGCATAATATATAAAATGAAAGTAGTTCAAGCAATAATATATTAATTTTTATGGTTAATTCATCTTCTTCGTCGTCTTCGCAGTTTTTTTTATGGAATATCTCTATCCCATATTTATTAATAAGTTCTACCAGGAACAATCCTTGACGCGCATAAATGCTTAAGCCATAAGAATCGTACGTGAAACTATGACTTAATCCGGCTTGTGATGCCTCAGGCGTGGTGGTTATCGATTGAGGTTCGCTAAAAAGTGAAGATTCCAACATCAATGACAAGAAGGGCTCACTGAATTCCCGCCATTGCTTATCATCTAATAGAAATTGGGCTAATATCTCTTGTATTTTTGCACGGTCATTTTCGTATAGATCCTGAATAATCTTTATAACTCGTTGAGCAAAGTCGGTAGGACTATCAGAAATAACGATTGATATTTTATCGACGATATATATAAATAAACAAGTGCTATGATACACACCTTACCGAATAATGAATATCAAATAATGTTGATTTTATCTTTTGAACGATGATTCCTGCTAAAGAATCCTTTCGCCCAATTACTTCCCGATTTTGTACAATTTCTTGCCATATCCTTTTTGACGCCTCTATGAGAGTATTTATAGTATCTTCACCCAAACCTCCATTAGTTTTCAAGAAGATAAGTTCGTATATGTTTCCTATTACTGATGTCAGGTTAGAATTGAGTAAAAATCCGAGAAACTCGCTATTCGCTGATAACTTGTCAAATATCCGCAGACTAGAGAGAATTGATTCCTTGCGTATGTTAAAAATGTTTTCCGAGGCAAAATAGTGTTGTATGAATTTTGAGATTATATCTGCAAGTTTATTCAAAATATTCATCCGTGATTCTGGTTTTAATATATAGCCTTTTTAAGGAGAAAATTATAATAAGCAGAATTAGTCGCGATCTTAAAAAAAGAACAAGAGAGAATTTACCATCTTTAAAAAATATCCGCACCAGTTGATACCAGAGCCACATATAACAAATTTTCTATTTGTTCTCTTATGTCTTCTTCAAGTTGCTCATTTAATGTATTAGTCAAGGATAAGAGAAACACGTCAAGTTCCTCATTGAATAGCTGACGAGGGTCATTGCCAAATGAGCGCTTATCAGGAAAATAAAGTACGATTAATAATCAATATTTCATTATTACAGTCGCACCCAAGTGCACATTCCATATAAATGCTCTCTAAATGCGCGGTATAATCTTATAAGGCTCTATATATTTGCTCTCTATAAATGCACACCTTCTCAAAATGCACACTTTGCAATTTTTTTACCATGGTCCAAGAGGGTGCGACTGTATAAAGATCTTTAATTCTGAGCAATCATGTACAGCATACCCACATTAGATATCGAACATGAGAGAATCTTCAATTTGCTATCCATATCCTCAGTTTTCAAGACTGTCGATATTAAAGCGTTCCAATAATGTTGAATTTCATGGGAATCTTTTTTATGAGTTAAAAATGTCCAGAATATGTCAATGAGGTAATTAGCGGATGGAAGGGGAACTAGTATAATATTTTCGTGAAATTTTCCATCAAGAAAATTTTCTAAAGCCTAGTTTTTAGAAAGATATAGAATTTATTACAGAAGGTTATATTTAATTTATTATTATGAAAGAGCATATTTTTGGATTTACCTTTAGTGTGGCGATGTCCGAGAAAATTATATCAATAAAATCTCTCGTTAGAGTAGCTAATAAGAAATACAACCCCTCAGACTGACCTTGAAATTATGAAAAACATATAATTTAATGAGTTCATACAGCAAGATCAAAATAAGATTAAAGTTAATAAATAATGCCCACTCCAAGACTGCTCGCATTTAGCCAAAGCTGTTAGGAAGATATTTGTGATCAGCCTGTTAATCTTTGAAAATAGGTTCAGCATAAGTTCATATACTTTATCCAAACATAAAAATATACATTTTCCTTTATTAATCAACAAAATACCGTCTCCCTGTCCTCCCGTGTCTCAATTTTCGTGCTTGCTGATAACGAACCAAGAAGATCAATCAATCGTTGACTAAATTCTTTATAATCAGCCTCCGCGTTTCGATTGGACGATATTTCAGGTAGAGCATCATTATTAATAGTTTGGATCACCAAATTTCTCGTTCTCTCCAATAGCAAGTCTGACGCGTCTAAAAAAAGATAAATTAACATTTTGCAGCGAAATTCTGATATCAAATAGATCATTTTTTTACCTTTTGATTTTGTCAAGAGGGAAATGATATGAGTAGAAAGTGCGTTACACATGTTTCTTGCTTGAAATTTATTTTCAGCTCCCTAAAAATTAACAAAATATTAATAAGATGTTTGATTACAAAAAATCGACAAAAATTTTAAGATTTCACCTGAAATCCAACAAGATATAATTCGACAAGTCGAAAGAATTCTTTGTCAATTAGATATGTCTGTATGTCTCTCTCGTTTTCGGACTTGCTAGTACAAGATTTGGTGTTTTAATCATAATATTTATCATGATCTCAATAAGAAGTTAAAAAAAATAATATAAGGTACAATAAAATACACACCTTAACTTCAGAATAAAATATACTAAACATTCGCAATACGCTTTGAAAAACGAAGCTGAATTCGAGCGATCTATAGTGCCGCTCGTTAAGCCTTTCCAGAAATTTGTAAAAAATTTTGAATAGAATTCCCGATCGGTGGATAAAAGCTATTTTGATGGTATAGAATGTAATAAAAAAAAATTCTATATATTTTTCTTGCTTTAAAATAAATAATCTTTGGCGTCAAACCTCAGGTGGCAATTGACTAATTAGAGGTAATAAACTTGGATATGAGACATTGACCGACCCAAAAGCTCCGAATTCAAGAAAATGATATAATTCGGGAAGCATTGGTTTCTCTTTGCTGGCAATTACCCATGACTGTGGAAAACCTTTAAGGCAAAAAAATCAACATTTTTTCTCGATATACTACTCTCTATATAAATAAATATAAAATACCTACTCCTAGTAAACATTAACAATGAATCCCACAAATCTCCATGAATCCTTGCGTCTTTATCATTGAATATATTACTTAGATAAACATAACTTAATGATTCAAGTCGTTCCTCAATTTTCTCTATAGAATTAAAGTTCAAGCGATCAATAATATTTGAATATAGAAGAACCTATAAAACACGTAAAGATCTTACTTGGCCATTTTGTGCTCAGAGTCTTTATTAGATTGTAACACGATTTACGTATCAACGGATTCTGATTAGACAGATTTTCCCAGAATTTTGGATTGTCAAATAGATTATCATATAACTCTATTGCTTTAGACAGCTCAATTTCTCCTAATTGCTCTATTTAAAAAGAAGGATCATTGCTATCATCTGTGTATTTGAAATTTTATTCAAATCAACTAATCAAAAATTTAATACCTATTAAGTATGCAATAGCATAATATGAACTTGATACGACCCGCGCATACTTTTGTTCCATTTCTTCTTGTGATATGTATTTTGAGCCATCTTTTTGAATTAAAACAATTTGAGTTTATCGATTAAAATTATAAAATTATATTTATATAATTTTATTTGAGCTTACTTAATGTTTCGGGTGTTTTCTGAAAAATTACTTCAGAAACGTAATTCAAGATTTCCGCTTGACCAAACAACAATACTTCATTTCGTTTCTCAACAGAAAAAGCGGCCTAGTAATTTCAAAGTTACAGGTCAATCATCACTTCGCAAATTCGAAAATATTCAACTGGAATTAAAATTCAAAACCTGAAAAGATTCCATCGCAACTCTAGCAACATCTTTATTCTGATCGAAAAACGATGTGACCCATACTCCAATAATTTCTTTTAAATTTGGTGCCAATCGTTTTTTCAATTTTGACACGATTAACAAATGACAAGTATTTGTCGCCAATCGTACGCGATGATCAGAATCAATCGCCAGCCGTACATAGAAATTCGCCTTATTATAAAAATAAAAGTTCCATTTATAAATTATAAAATAATTAAAAATCACCTCCAATATTTCGTGTTGCAAGAATATACCCAAACTTCAACAGCATCTTCTAATCCTGTAACATTGTTTCCTTCCGCTTCCTTTGCATGTAAATACCCTTCTAGCTCTTCCAATGCCTTCAATTTTGTTGTAGTATCACGTTTAGCAAGTTTTTTCATAATAAAGGATAGGTCCGCATCGATTACACCTGTGAAGTTCACTAAACTTTCTCCTAATTCAGAAGATGCATTCGCTTCTGTCCCCCTATTTTTGTTCTTTGTAGACTCTTCAGAGCTATTTGCAGAGGTTTTCTTTCCGCTTGTAGCAACTTTAGCAGCTTTTTCCGCACCTCGACTTGGCAATTTAAAAAAGAAAACGTTAAACAATATTGATCTCAATTAAAAAAGGGATAAAAGGTCCATTTGTCCACTTACCCGCTTTTTGCTTGTTTGGAACTGCTTTTAGAACTAGATTGATTCTTGGCTTTAACCATTTTTTGTTAAAACAGTTGAATAGATTCGAACGAAGATAACGACTAAGGCGCTTTTGGAAGGTAGAAATTTGTCGATCGATGTTGATGTTTAAAGACCATATCGATATTGCTTTTTTTGATTTACGTGTCGCATCATGTCTGCCTCTATCGACAAATATAGCGTTATTCTTCCAACATATAACGAACGTAGTAATCTCCCAGTCATTATATGGTTACTAGCTAAAACCTTTAAAGAAAAGTAAGCATATCTTTATAAGTGATAATTATTAAAAAATTGCGTCGTGTACTCAAATAATTATTGCATACATGACTATTTGGCTTATAGCGATCTTTCTTGGGAGGTTATCATTGTGGACGATGCTTCACCTGACGGAACTCAAGAAATTGCAAAGCAACTAGCTAAAGTTTACGGTCCTGAGCATATTGTAGATATAATTTACAATTTACATATGAATACCTCTAAAAGCTTCTGATAATTTCCCATTCTGTTTTTTATACAAAAGTTGCTAAAACCAAGAGCAGGAAAACTTGGTCTTGGGACTGCATATGTCCATGGGCTCCAATTTGTTACTGGAAATTTTGTTATTATCATGGACGCCGATTTCTCACATCACGTAATTGTCGAATAAATATTAACGCTTGCCATTAAATTTATCCTTTTATCATATTCTAACTATAATTTTATACAGCCAAAATTCATTCCGCAATTCATAAAGTAAACTATAGAATTTTTATATGCTGTCTGGAACTTTGATTTTTTTCAAATTTTTCCGACACAAACTCTCTTAGACTACAGCAAACTAAAAACTATGATATCGTTACTGGGACGCGTTATGCTGGTAATGGTGGAGTTTATGGGTGGGATCTTCGACGTAAGGTGATAAGGTATGTTTTAATTTGGTTTTTTATATTCTCTTTTGTCGAGTAATTTTTTATTCTTAGATCTGTTTTTTCTAACTTGAATAAAATTTGATTAAAAGCCGCGGTGCAAACTTTTTAGCATCTACATTATTGCGTCCAGGAGTCTCTGATCTTACTGGAAGTTTTCGGTAATTTACCCAAGATACTGTTGTTATTACTGTTCATTTTACTTCTATCATTTGAATTGTCGGATTAACCAAAAATGTATCGTTATTAAGATTATATAAAAAACACGTACTGGAACAATTAATTTCTGCAACTATTTCCAAAGGATACGTATTTCAAATGGAGATGATGGTGCGAGCTCGACATCTAGGCTTCACTATCGGTGAAGTACCAATTACATTTGTGGATCGAGTCTATGGTGAAAGCAAAATGGGCGCAAATGAGATCGTGCAATATGCCAAGGGAGTTTGGCAATTAGTGAGTACTAATTCCTGTTTTATTATTATTCAAAATGAATAATGACCTACCCTTTTTATTATTAATGCACATAATTTTTTTGTTTTATATTTATTCAAGTTTACGACTATATAGAGATCTTGATGAAGAAATATTATTAGTATATTTATTATCATTGAAACGTGTTGCTAACCTTATTTGATCCACAGAACCAAATATTATTATAGCTTTTATTAAGATTTTTCAACGTGATCAGAAGTAATTTAATTCATAATTCAAAAAATTCATTTTCTTTCACAATTTTGTATATACAATATATAACTCACTCTCAATATAGTGAGTGAAAACATCGGGTCAAAGGGAATCTTATGTAACTTTATTATATCATAAGCCACTATTATCGTTATTAATAATATGTAATGTCATTATTTACGACCAGTATTAAGAATGAACAAATTTTTGATTGACCCGGAAAAACAAATCCGACTCAAAGAAATGAAAAAAGTGATATTACGAGAATACTGATGCATACATAAATCTATCTGTCTTGGACTATTAATTAAAAATGTCGGGAAGGCTTGCTTTCTCACCAATAATAATAAATTCACGTGATCTTGGAGATTTTCAATTTTCAGTGGTATCCCGATGACAGGAACTCGGAGAATCGTTTTTCGGTTTGTTGCATGATTATCCCTATTTCATTTGAACAAAAATTATCTTTATGAAAAATAATTCCCAAGCAAAAACGTATAACTGCATATAGTCGTGCACAGTTATGATAATGGAATTTTAGTACATGAACATGTATGTCGATTTATAGTCATTCAATTAAATGGCAAGTCATAAAAAATTAAAAGAAAATCATAATCTTGTAAAAATAACACAACAAACGTTAAGTTCGACACTTATAATGTATCTGTGACACTTTTTACAAGAATGGTCAATTTAATTTTTGGAACAAAATTTCATATCAATTGAATGGATATCAAATATATTTATTTAGTTTATAACAATATTTTAGCAAATAACCGGCATAATTTGAATTCCGAAATATTTAACCACCTTATATTAATTACCTCATTACGATTTATCAAAAAAATCCCCTCCTCCCCCACCTGAGATATTTTATTTTCAATACGAGGTAATATATGTCAGTGCCTAATGAAAATTCAGAATCCAGTTCGTTAAAACAGCATGTAAAAAAATAAACAAATAAAATAAAATATTGCCAGTTCGCGATAAATTTTCGTTGTAAAAAATGAACCGATCATTTTTGGACGTGATATTTCACGACCAGTGATTTATCAAATAATGTCCAAAGGAAATTCAATAGATTTTTTCGAGTATATTATGTAGTATATATATATATATAAAATTATTAAACGCTAGAACGAAACGAAACGCGATTTCATTAATAGGTGACTCTCGCATGGACTTTGGAAGGATTCGAACCCTCATTCCAATTAAGGAATCACCAGAGCAAAATCCCAATTTATGGAATACTACGATCTATGAGAATTGGCTAGAAACTCGTAGAAAGTGTTGTTTAGATCAAAAAGAATACTACGGCTACGACCCCGAGTACCAATCGATCTCTGGCCATAAACAACCAAAGCAGTTACAACAAGTCTTATTTAACGCAAAGTCAAGACTTGGAGAAACTCACGGCGAACCAAAGGGAACGACGCTTAAGATTCTCTATTATAACAGGGCTAGTCTTACGTTGAAATCGGCCATGAAATAACAACAGCTTTCCCTAGGAAGAGAATCTTTAAAGAGATCCGGTAATACCAAAGAAGGATCTTTGGATTTGCAATTCGAGTTTTATCACAGAAAAATCTTTAAAACTGGAGAGTTTCCATCGCAAGCAAAGCAAGCAACATACGGGCGGCCACAAACTCACAAACCGCCTCACAATGGACAAAAGCCCAGGGTCATTTTTACATCTTAATACGATGGAAAATATTTTGTAGAGGTGTATTTTCATCACCCTTAAAAAAACCTCAATCAACAATAATCGAAGCCATAGGCACTGGGCACTCTGGGAACATCTCAAACTGGGAAGAACGTTCACTGTTGAAACAGTGGCCACGATGCGCTTTCGATTTCCCAGAATCAATGTAGCAGTGTAGCTTCAGATACACAACGACTTGACCATGTCAAAAAAGGGGTGTGAGTTTCCATCGCAAGCAAAGCAAGCAACATACGGGCGGCCACAAACTCACAAACCGCCTCACAATGGACAAAAGCCCAGGGTCATTTTTACATCTTAATACGATGGAAAATATTTTGTAGAGGTGTATTTTCATCACCCTTTTAAGAGCCTCGATCAACAATAATGCCAAAAGAGGAGTCTTTGAGTTTTATCACAGAAAAACTCTAAAACTCAGGAGTTTTCAAGCAACAAATAAG